GTCGCTCTCTCTCTCATACCCTCACTGTTTGGATTTCAATGATGACAAAAGGTTGTTGATTTTAGTAAGCACGTGTAGCTTCAGGGTGTTTTTATTTGTTTTGATACTCAGGGCAGAGTTGGCTCAATGGAATCCTTATGACACGCTGGCCGCTATTGCAACATGCAGCCAACAACACGAAGACGTTGTGAATACTGGACAACAAAGGCCGTTTCAGCGTTGTTTCCCCCTCCAGTGATGTTGTTTCACACCTTGGAGAAGGAAACAATAGGTCTTTATTCGTCTTGGACATCAGCACAATGGATGTTACAAAAACTCTAGCCATGTAAATAACAACTACGCATAATCAACTATCCACACTTTGTTAATCCTTCATTTGACATGAACCTTACTAGGATTTTGATTGGCGGTGATAGGGGAAAGGGAGGAGCAACAGGGAATATAAAGTCAGCAGACCTGGACATCCTCCAGTTCAATGTAACGCTTTTACAGTGAGAGGTCGTTGCTTTTTCAGTGTGCCTGAGTATCGTTTCTCAACATCTGTCGTGAATTTTCAAGTATGGAAAGTTTTTCAGTTCCTTTGGTGAAGTTCATTTCTGGTGACTTTTGGTCATCCGTGAAGATGAGGCAAGTACGCGTTCTGTGCCAGAAGACGATCACGCCGGTTCAAGTTCTGGAAGCGGCAATGGAAGACGACAACTCCATTCGCAAGGCCATCAAGAAGATACGTCTCACAGACTGCCAAGGCCGGGACAGTTGGCTGGAGATTTTTCACGAAATCAGTTTCATGGACTACGCTTCGCATCCGCACATCATGAAGATGGACTGGGCAGTAAAGTGCAAGGACTTTGTAGCTATCTGCATGCCTCTGTGCTCACGAGGATCTTTGCATGATGCGCGTCACCGTCTCAACAGGGAGCAGTTAGAGCGCTGCTTCGTGCAGACCGCCTGTGCACTGAGATATCTTCACAACAGGTGGGCTGTACACGGGGACGTGAAGCCTGCCAACGTATTCCTGGATGAATCCAACAACGCTATTCTCGGTGACCTGGGAATGTCCCGCCTTCTGGCACACGGACAAAACAGAGTGAGCAGCAAGAACGTACTCGGAACAAAAGGCTATCTCGCTCCAGAGATCCAGAGTGACATCACCGTAGATCCTTTTCTGGTGAGTAACTGCAGAGTTTTCTACTTAGTGAGCTTGTTTATTTGCGTGTTTGATTTGTTTAAGTTTAATGTTGTGTAAAAGTTGTCCTGATGTTTGGTTTGTTTGTTTGTCTGTCGGTATGTTTTTGTGGCTTTGTTTCTGCTGTAAATTTATTGTATGTTTTTATTCTGTTGTAAACAAGTAATTTTATTTAAAAATTGTAAATGCGCTGTGGCTTTTGTTATTGGGTTATAATATGCATAACATCCTTTCTTTGTTTGTCTGGTGTAATCTTGTTTGTCACTATTGCGTACTAGTAGATAATTGTATTTTCCCTTTCTTTTTTTCTGTGTGCTCCCTGAAGGTCTTTGTATACTGCAGCAATATGCTGTTGCCTGGAACCATTTGCTCACTATTGACCAACTCTTTTTTCCACTTATTCTCTACAGACGGACGCGTACGCACTTGGAGCAACGCTGTGGTTTCTTGTCTTCAAACGAAAACCTCGCGATGGAGAGGATCTTCTGCACGCTGTGAAATCCGACAGAACCCTAATGCCGCTCTTGGGCTTCTTCAGGTAACGAGACATTCTTTACTTTGGATCCTAACCCAATGCAGCTTTCTTTACTTTTAGATGAGTGCTGTTGATTCCTTGTAAATGAAAAATAAAATAGTAATATGTTGGTTTTTTAAAGAAAATACATACTTGTAGTCTGTTACGTAGAATATTCAGAAATTTCCATTTACCATAATATGAATACTTGCTTTCACTTGATGTTGCCGATTATTGATCTGAGTATTTTTGCTTACTCCACAGGTTTGTGCTCTACAGGCTTGTACAGAACAACCCACGACTCCGACTTTCAGTCTGCCATCTCCTGGAATTCCTTCGTGAGCGCTTTCAGCAGTTCAGGGTAATCATAGACTCTCTGTAACGAGTGCAAGTGCTGTATTTGCATACTTTTTTTCCTCTTTTCTTTCTTCATTTTAGCACTTTCTAACAAAATATGGTGTTGAAGTTGTTTCTAGTTTTCTTATATTTCACCCATTTCCGTTTACCTAATTCACCTAATAATTGAATTGAATTGCTATTTTGGTTTTTGAAATGTACTACACTACTTTAACTTTTAGTTTACTTACAAATTTGTCCACCCAACGACACATATTTTGCACTCGTGTTTGTCTTAACCAACAGAAAACTCAATGAGGCAGGAAGCAGGTGTCTTGGACACACCAAGGCAAGCTCAGGGCCTGTACATCACCAGCTGAAGTCATCATGTGAGTAATGGGGAGTTGACGAGGACTTTACACATGTTGCTGGTGAGTTGTTACCCTCACTACCACTGAGGGGGGACCTGCTACCTACGAAGTGGACACAGCATTTTCTCTATTTAACTTTACTAACATAGTTGTCTCACAGTAACTAAAAAGTTTCCATTTTATCTAACTCTGAAATGTCTTGTCTCGTACGTGCATTTCTGTGTTTTCATTAATGTGTTACTAACGAGCCGAAATTATTCCAGCCACTGTGGGGGCAGCGCTTGGTTTAATCGGCTACTTTGTTTTGTCTTTTTTCAGCTGTTTCAATAACAACTACTCAATCGTTAAATCACTAGAATGCAAACTGTAGCTATAACTTACTTTAATTAGCAAAATGTACTAATTTCTAACATCCAATTTGTTGACTGACCCAACCCATAACACTAACATTCTTAAACTGACTAACAACTAACATACCCCAGACGTGAGCGCTCGGTAGCGCCGTCTTTTTAATCAGGCCTCGGTGTACAGTGTACCCTGAGACGGTCCCAAGCCCGTGGAAACTGAGAGGGAAAAGGCGATGATGCCAACATAAAAAACAAAGTAGTTTTATTTCATCGGTATGTTTTGTAACTCCATTCAGAAGTCTGTATAGCATCTCATTACTAAGACATGTTTTTGTTTCCTGCTCGAAGTGTAGCGTTGTGCAAATACCACTCCAAATCACACGGTAAGGATTA